CGTGGTACATGTCGCTTCGATCTCGTTGGAATTTTATCGGGTTGACTGCATTTTCAATTATTCGAAGTTTCGTTTTTTACTTTTTAAGGTATGTGTCCGTAGAATATTTGGATTGCGTGACTCACACCACGTTTGGCAACCCTATAAGTCAGCTTCGAACAGTCGAACTATGGTTTCGTTAAGTGATATTTATTCTCAAACATACCATTGTTTGTTTATATTACTATACAAACATGGACGTTCCGACATATAGAATTTTAAGTGCCGAATTTAATTAGTACACCTCCCGTTGTGTTGATGATGTATGAGCATAAAACAGCAATAAAAATAAAGGTCTACGAATATAAATAGAGGCAGAGTAAGTCATAAAACATGCGGTTAATGATGTGACGACTAATCGTGGAGCTTGCTATTGTGGATGTGAAATGTGAATGTTGAGATCTCTAATTAAAGTCTGATTTTATCATTGCATTTTTCGGCCGGGCATTCATTTATTAATTTTGAAGTATTTTTTGTTGATAAACGCAATTGAGACTATTCATCACAAGATGCAATGATGCCGGATTCGAACGAAGTAACGGTCGAGATTATATATCGTACCAGGGTCGGATCATGCATGGAATAGGCTCGCCAGTCACATAGGATTAATAAATAGTAAGTACCTATGTATAATTGGCAAAAAGTAGGCGATAAAGTTCTTGCGCCTAGTTTCTAAGAAAAACAGGCCTGGTGCTGTAGTAAGGCATGTTTTTAAGCTAAAATGCTACGACTTTGTAACGTAGAGACGCATTACAGAGCATGGAGATAAAAACTTTATACATGCACATGTTACAAATGACGTCTTTCATTCTGTTGAATAAAACAACTTGCGAGTTGATAGACAGCTGCTACATACTATATTCTTTCTCTCAGACATCGGAAACGAATCAATGCAATGGAATGGGTAAACATTCATTCTTCCTCTATCCCCACTATTGTAAGCAACTGAGACTCAGGACAATAATCCATTCATTGTAAAAGCAGGTACAGCCTTTATTTACTTATAGTCAGAATTTTAATTAGATTCCAGATTTGACAATAGCTACTGTCATTTTGTGAAATAATGATACCACATATAATACTGTAGTGATGGACACAAAAATCGATTAACAATCGTGTGTGTGTTTTATAATAAATGTTACAGAAAGTGACAGCGATAGCGATAGCGATGACGGCGACAATTTATAAAATAACTTATTCCATAATACATCTATCTGTTTTATTTGTCATGTTATTTCATGATAACATTTTTTTATTTATTTCACACACAAATTATAAAAGAAAAGTCTCAGATCGTTAAGTAATCGTCAAAACTAAATTATCGGTCAGAAATATTTAATTTCCTGATATCCTTAGTTTATGAGAGTAAAATTATAAACGAGAAGAATCGATTCAGAAATATTGCATTTCCATATCGAATAATTTCGCAACGTCACTATTTAGTACTTGTCATAACGTTGCAACACTGAAATTGTCAAATCTGGAATCGAATTATAATTCCGAGTATAATCCTAACCACCTTCGACATCGCAATGCAACTACCAGTTAATGTTGGAAGATTTTATCAAGTATAATTTATAGAAATAATCGAATTGAACGCAGATGTAATCTAGGCAGCGGTCTTCAAGCAAGTTTGACGGTTCCACAGGCAATATTTCGCGTATTAGTGGAGCGATAAGCATGCAAATCCACAAGGGCCAACACAAATCGTCCGGATACCGGTTGGTGAACGTAGCTAGCTAGTCGTTGCATTAGTGCAGTTACAGCGTTTGTTGCAACAGTATGCAGAGGCCTTGCATTCGCCGAGCCACGGCGTCGGCCATGGACCAAAATACCCGCTTTCACGCACAAGTCTGCACTCAATACTCGAAACCGTCTGTTATACTATGAGGTACATGAATATTGATATTATGTTAAACTACTCGTTCTTGTATGTCAATATCAAGATGATAATTTCTATGCAAATCGTTGGCGGTCGAAAAAATTTAATGATCTGCTGACGCGAAGCATGAAATAAGTATGCAGATTTGGTGGTTTTATTATGACAATTGATTCTGTGCGCAGTTTTAAACGACCCCTCATTATTATGAAGCCAACAAGCGTAACGATAAAAACGTAGACATTGATAAAATTCTTCAGACCTCTAAACGTTGCCAAGTAACGGTATTGTTCTTGTTCTTTCCAAGTCATTTGGAACTCCCCAGTAATTTATACAGTCTGACAACAGCATAGCATTACGTGTTGCCGGTTGGACAAGAGACGGACTGATTACAGTGAATGACTCGTCAATGAATTTCTGAAGTTATGTCATAGATCATTTTGATCATCAAGACGACGTGATGGATCATTAATCAGTGCTTATGAGTATGTGATTATGGCTAGTTAACTTGGTGCAGGTTTGGTTCAAGGTTTAGTAGTGAACGTCTTTAATGGTATGAATATTATTTAAATGTATGAAGACTGTTAGGTCTCGTCAGTACAGAGTGGTCCCACAATTAATACCAGTAGTACAAGCATGAACAGTTTGCAAATAGACCACTGGAGAATGTTATTGTAGCCGCAAACTGTTTGCATTCAATTCTGTCTGCGAGTATCGGTTGCTTGTACAGAGATGTTTGCTACCACTTCTACGTACTTACGTAGCTATAGTACGTATGTATGTGTGTGCTGTTTGCTTAGAGGTATAGACCTTTTGACCTCTTTTTGTTTTAGTTACAGAGTGGTTCGTTTCTGTTTCAGGATTTTAAGAAAAATCATAAAGCTCGCGTTTATGGTCTCGTTTATTAAACTTGTGGATTTCGAGTTGTATTGTAAACTTTACTATAATTTTTAAGCGAATCAAATCAAACTGATTGTCCTGAAATTTGCCTACCTCCCTTTAAATAGAACCAGCAAAACGTGAAAACTTGAAGATAATTTTAAGATAATAACGCATTTTCTTAAACATGGTATTCTTGTCTCTTCTAACAACCATATTTCAGTTCAAACAGCTGTATTGAATGATTAAATAATGTATTACATTACACACAATAGTCGCACGTCAATGGTGTGTCGTTTGAACACGTGTGAGCAGGCATGCGTCCGCCCACGCGATGCAACGTTCACCACACAACGACAGAATAAAGCTTTGCATCTAAAAGTATAAAATTTAACAAAACGAATTTTTAACCCTCAAAGTCCCTGCTTTTTTAATTCATCCGTTTCGTAACGTACAACATTCAATCTTACAGCTTTTTATAGCTGCGATTTGTCATGCGACTGTCGCTGCTACAATTCGACAGGTCGTCAGTTTGAGAAGGAACTAACGAATTCATTCCAACTGACTGTATAAGTAAAGGGCATCGTAAAGTTCCAGTAACCTTGTTTGAATATGAAATTGTGCGATGAATTTGATAGCTATGGGATGGGTGGTATGATCCAGTAGTGTCCTATTGTACTAGTATCGCAGGTCAATGTGTAACAACACGCGAGCACGTGTATGTTACCATCTTACCATGTGTCCGCCTACGCGACGCCGAGCCCATTTACACACCACGATAAAGTATTGATAAATAACGTTTGCAACTGAACCATACCAGTTTTTAGAATTTTGTGAATCATATTGTAAAAATCTCTATAGAATATAGATTATTCTATCCAGACGGGTAAATATTTACGTAAGAGTAAATTTATGAAGATGTTGAAAGATATAAATTGGTATCTGAAGTTGTTGCAGAAAAATGGTATATTAATAACATTTTTGTAACAAAAAGGACTACGCAGCTGACAGTCACACCCTGAAAGAAACGCTAAAATCGACTTTAACACCAGAAAATAAGGTCGAATCAATGTGAAATTGTTACACGAACGTGTGCTAATCATGAATTATTGATGTATTGTAACGTGGGGCAGATCTAACCTTTATCAAATGAACATGTCCACCAACCAACCTTTTTCTATTTAATGTAATGACCACAATAATGCATTTTATGGCACTGTAGCCATTAGAACATTCACGTATATGGTCTTAGCAGATAAACGACGACGAAATAAATATTCATACTACATTGTCGACAGCATTAATTGAGCTAATTAAATAGTGTCACCATAAAAAATGTATTTCAATAATTTATTATTAATAAAGTTGAATACCAGTTTTATATCAATTAGCATGCGCATAAAATAATAATAATATGTAGTGTGTACCTCATTTAGTTTAAATTCGTCGATTTGTGTGTGCTGGTTTTATTTTGGTGTTTCCGCCACTTTGATAAGCGACTAATTATACTAATAAGTGAGTATCGTGTCGCATGATGACGTATGCATCCTGATTTCGATCGCATAGTGTGCGCACGACGAAACAATCGTACTAGAGCGGATTGCGTCATCGCTCGTAGTAATCAGCTGATGTCGGTCGAGTAAATTGAAACCGTTTAATACCTACATGTGTAGTAACTGTGTAGTATACCTATTGTGTGTTACTATGTACCTATACATACACATTATTTCGCTCGTGTTACAATGTTCTACTTGTACTAGAAAGAAAAATGTAAGTGGTTTAGTTGGTTCTTATCGATATCGTCTGCAGTTCACCGTTTCCTTCAGTGAAAGAAATAGGTTATCTACAGTTGGATTTCGTAGAATTGGGTCACCAAGTGTGGTAGATTTGGTTTCACATTTGGCTCTAAATATTTACTGAGAATGGAATAGAATACACATACATACGTTTTCATGTATTTTAAATTACATGTACCTTTATTTTATGACTGAAGTTCCACAGAACAATGTATCATAACAATTTGATGTTCACATAGTAAAACACAGCATAGGTTCTTTAAATACAACAGAACGAACAAACGATCTTTGACTTTTAACTCATCATCGTGGAATAAATAAAATTTTAAAACAAGCCAATAGTTTACTCAAATCGATGCACAACAATGGGAGCCAAGGGCAATAAAGTCAAACTGTTTATTTTACAGGCCAACAAAATGTTCAACAATAGAAATGTCAAGACAAAGCTCTTTAGAAAAACTTAGTCGTTCGGAACAAAAGGACGTTCCGTTGAAAGTGGAGACGCAAAGGGGGCGCTGTAAATCAATGCTGGCGAATAATAAAATGCAAATGTACAAAGACTTGTTTTTACTGGAAACGCTGATATAGACAACGGCCATCTTAGTCAAGACGAGAAAGTTCTTGTTAATGTTATCGCATCAGATGTTTCCTTTACAAGTAACTTCAGTTATTAGTCGAAACAAGATAGGCAACGCCTTGTGTGAGCAAAAGCACGTTCAACACCTCCATCTAAAAAGGCAACATGATTTAGAACTGGACCAGTATTAAGTTATTAATAAAGAAATAAAACTGCTAAACATTAAACGAGACATGACTATATCCTTATTAAGGAAGCAGTTTATTACAAGCACGCTACATATTTTGTACCATAACGTAAGTCAATCAGTAGAGTTCTAAAAGCATTAAGAATTGCCAAGTTGTAAAGTCCCAATCCAATGAATATTCGGTCAGCTACTTTACACGAGGCCGACGATGTAATTACTTCTTATATTAACGGACATAGTAATTATGGCTTCGTCGTAAAGACGTTAATGAAAAGCAATCACTGGGTACTAAGTTGCGCAGGTTAATGCAGTGTTGTTGCGCATCCAGTGCCGCTTTCAGTAGCTCATGTATCCGAGTCAATGGTGCCTTGGTGCATAAAGTACCAGCTTTAGTGCAGCAAATTCTTACTGCTGAGTTTAAGACAAGTAACCTACATAATAATAACTGTTTCTCGAACAAGTTATTTTTAATATTTCTCCGTAAGTTATAATTTTAAGTTGTTAGTGAAAACAAATGTTTTCTGTGTTCACAGTTTGAGCAAAGAGAAGAAAACGAAGCAGACGCATTTGAAGACTTCGGGGAACTCGAAGCTCAGAACGCACATCGGTTTCAAACTGTTGATAGGGCTTTCGTTTATTGTTTCTTTTGTGAAATGATATCGGACATACCATTTATATGACGTTCCCATTTTACCAACAAGTTAATGCAATAGTTTACAAAATTCAGGTTATAAATGTTACTATGTTCGTTTCTTTTATCCGTTTTACTAAACAATGCAATGGAATCTCTCCAAGGTCCACATTGTATGCAGGTAATCATAACGACGGTAATGTTATTGGTCGGCATCCAATACTGCTACACTAGGCGCTCCAAGGTCGAGCGGTGCATGCACCATAAACCCTCGTGTTTACCGCCACTCACCGCTTCGTCTTTGTCTTTGACAGAAGAAGGACGACTTAAGTAATAAACTGATTACTTTCTGGAAACTACGAATCTCCGTCTACCTGCCTTCTTTTGTGTATTCTCAGAATAGCGCACAATTGTTTGTAATTAGTACTTATTTTTTCAGGTTTCGTATATTCATCGTGTTATTTTTCGTGTACAAATATATCAATCACTTTCTAATCCGCTGTCGTCTCAACGTTTGTGCCAACTGGTGCATAAGAAAAGGTGACGCTCGTATCAAGCAACTGCATCGACCTACAATGATGACCCTGGCATGTTACCAGTCACAAATGAAGGTTTATTGCCAACGTAGGTGTACTGCAAGTCTTTATTTATAACTAAACTTTATTGCTTAAACCTACTCACCGTCTTTATCGATACTTTCTTTAATAGGAAACTTGGTTTTGTATTTTGTTCTTACTTGTGGAGTTCATTAATGTTGTCGAATTTTTGTTCTATTTACAACATGAAATTATTTGTGTTCATTTATTCAATCTGTTTATTAATAGCAGAACTGGTATATAAAGATGTTAACTTCTGCGTAGGTAATGTCGCAGCCATTCATCAGGCGTCGTTAGAGTCAAGAGGCAATCTAGGAGCCATACATTTCTGTGATTACTTTTACATCCTGATACGGTTGGACAGGTTTGTGGAATAAATTTTAAAGCAGTGGAAAATTGGAAATGCGACAAGTAGCAATTGGTGAATGATAGTAATTATCTGGTAGTAGTCGGCCGCCCACCAGAATTCCACGCTCATTCCCACTGTAGCGGAACACTTGGTGCTCCCAGTTGTTTATTCTCTCACACAAGTTATGTTTTGGAGTGCGTGACTTGTCAAACGCCACGTCACTTGAACGCAGCACGCCAGCTACCCACGGTCCATTATTACTTTGTTATTACTAAACGAGGAATACGGTTTCGGAACGATTTGTTTAAAGTAGTGCTTATTGTTATTCCACCATAAAAAAAGTAAACCGTTAGGTAGCTAGGTGCTAGTGGAAAGCGTTTCAGTGGAAATAATTCCACAAACATTCGAACGTTTGTGTGCTTTTTTGATGAAACCTAAAATCAATATTTGCACAAGGTTTCGTGTTCTTCCATATAACACTGCACAACACAAACAGTTGTATCGATTGCTGCATATGGTTGTGAGTTTGTGATGAATCAAAGCATTCAGAGATCCGTACATCAATACAGCTGAGACTAGCGTTTCAACGGAACAGATAAACAAGCCATAATACCGTGGTAGGAGCGGACGATAAACAAAGCAAGGGTCAACGCCACTGCACCGAGCACACGCAGCACAAATTATTACATTTTTACTTTCATGATACATTCATGGAATGAATGAAGAGTTTGTGGTGAGTCTAATGAGTTTAGAAGATTGCTAGTTTATTGAAAGTAATCATTTCTGAGGAGTAATATACCGAAATCTTTGAAAAAATATTAGTGTCTCTTGTTGCTTCTTTATTATCTTTATTTAAAAAACATCATCGCTACTAAGTTTTTCTCTCGCAAGGTTATTTTTTATGGCATTAATTATACAGGATGCTTACACGAATGTTGTTTGGAACACAGTAAAAGCATACAGATTTACTTGTCTAATCCTCAGACGTTTCGTTTAAGACTTAAGTCATTCCCAAAGGCGAAGTTCCGAAAGCTTACCGCAAATATTTGATGAAGATTTTATCAAGACCATGAAGGGCCGAGGTACGAATGTAAATATGAATAGTTACAACTGCTATGATAATGAACTAAGACCTCAAGCATTAGTAGAATTAATTCTCACTTCCTGTCCTCATTAAAAAGTTTAAGAAACAGAGTTAGTCACTTGAGAAAAATGGTTTGATTCGTCACAGACTAACAAAAAATCAGTGATGGTGACTAAGTTGATTTCTCAAAGGCTATCTCGTCAATGGAATGACACAGCAGAAAGGCTCCAATCACTCTGTACAATTCTTTGTTCAATCCCGGAATTCCCGAGGCATTTCATTTAAAACATTTCGCAAAACATCGACCCCTCGCTGTGATATTAAAAATTGCAATCAAACGTCGGCAAAAGATGAACGCATGATACACCAAACAGTAATTAAGTATTTGATACGTTACTCCGGTCACGGTAAAGCAAAAAATATTCATGCAAATTAGTAGATATTTCTGTACTTTTAAGCAGTCTTATGAAAAACCGGTCCTTTTTAAAGAAAGAAGCTAAAGATTACTTTTTTTTTTTGTATAATAGACAGTAATAGCTCAGCATGGTATTTTTTTATCAAAGAATAGGCAAATAAAAACAGGGAGAGACAGAGGTGCAATGCCTATTAATTATGCTACAGAACCTGAAATACTACATAATCCTGAAAAAAAAAAATAAGATCACATGCATTTTAACCAATATGGCAATAATGGTTCGGTTACCTAAAACCCCAAAAATATTCATAAAATTTGACAAGAAATGAATAAAAAAAACTATTTTATTAATGTTAATGCGGATTAACAAGAAAACAATACTTCTAAATGCGCATCTTTATTAATCCACTTCCTTATAAGAAAGTACGCATGCATTGTTCATTTATCACATGACGAACAAAGGCGTTCAATGGAATTAAATGCTATGAATGAAAGTATCGACGTAATACAAAGGGTGAGGAATGACCCTGGAAGGTTATGAATTGGCAATAAGCTGACACATGATAAAATATTCAAGAATGAAGGTGGACGATACATCAATGAAGAAAGAAAAGCTTTGAATGACCGGTTGTGAATAGAAAATTATAGTTTTGTAAGTTTACATGCATGTTGATTGATACTAAGTAAAATTGTATAACACTGTTGGAGTGGCCCTTTTTTCGTATTATGAAAAAAGTGGATACCATTGTACTAGATATGACTCGCCAATATTACAGAAAACAATTACTAAACTAGTACTAATAGTGAAGTATTTTTTCCTCTATTAATTGAGCTAAAAACAACAACTAACAGTTTCAACAAATTAACTGTTTTCAAGTGAATACTTTTTGTAGACAATTGTAGGTTACTACAGAAACGGATCAATGGTACGAAAATAAATGAATGACCGAGTCAAGGCTACTAGACTAGGTTAGACAATGTGTAATTAATTGGTAGCGAATTAAACACGACGATGGATACAGAACCGTTTCCCTTGCACGAGGTTTTAAGATGAATGGAATGGGGGCTACCATATGTTTAGTCACTAGATGGCGCAAATGTTGCAAGAGCATTTTTTTGTCCAATCACTGTAGCTGTCAAATATTGAACGTCCAATCGTGTGACACTAATTCCCTATTAGACAAAGAACGAGAGGTTCACTCTATCTGGTGACCAAAAATTCGGTAGCCCCCATTCCAGTGATCTTAAAACCACCCATTGAAGGGGTTTTGAATGATAGTAGTGAGACAAGAATTTTACCCATGTATTAATGTTAAAATTATTATAGTTATAAGGCTTTTTAGTTTGGTTGCTGGTTGCGTCCAACTGGCCTATCAAAAAGTCTTTCTTCACAGCAGTGTACGCCTTGTGGCTGATCATGACAATGATAACATGGTTAGTTTTAGTTCAAAAAATTTCGACAATGTAATAGCCATGTGCCATGTAGACTCGCATGAGATGAGAACAGCAGCAACTGCGAAAACTACCTACACTAATGGCGAAGTCAAAGTCCACAAAGTAACTTAGTCAACGATAGTCACGACACGAAGTCTGGCAAGAAAGAACAGTCCAATTTCACGAGTGTTAAAGATTAATGGAACTTGAATGAAAACTATGAATGACCTGACGTGACGACTAGTGAGTAATCGTAAGTGAATCGACAATGAGAATGACTATTTCCGTTTCGATGTGGGAACTTAGTTATCGGTTGTGGGCGAGTTCCAGTTCCGTGACCCGCTTTAACTCAAAGCTGCTTTACTGTGGTCTGATGCAACTACCTCGGATTAAACTGATTCATTGTTTCGTGCTTTGTCTCGTTGTTCGGACTTTGCTCAGGCGTTGTGTTTAATATCAATAGCAGAAATATCTGTAGGATTCGAGTAGTGACTAATCGAGACCTGGCCTTAACCTAGATGGAAAAAGGTCAGGAGAAAGATCTGCATAAGTTTGTGTTTATGTTTGGATAATTTACGATTCGGATTTTATTGATAAAACTTTGAATTTCTGATTTCATTCAGATTGAACATTTTGTATGTAAGATTCGAAAATCGGATAAAATTACGAAAACAGCGTTTTCATTTTAGCTTAAAACTTTTTAATACCTTGTCTTGTCAACTTTTACAACTTTCATGTAAATACTTGCATGTCGACAAAGATGTTTTCGTTGTGTAAATTTTATACTGTCGCTCAACGTCGTTTTACCGAGTAATAAAAAGTAAGATTGATTTATATGGAACCATTAAATTGTGCATTATCATAAATATTTATTTTTCAACGTGAATTGACGGTATCGAGGTGAAAAACTTAAGAAATAAAGACATGATATTTATATTTTAGTTCAGTATCATATTACTAGTGAATGACACGCAGTAGTAATGCAATCTGAGAACTGTGATATTTAAACTCGCCCACATATTAACGAGATTCGTTCAACTAAACATTCCTACACGGACGAATACTATCGAAATTGGATTTTAAATGTATTAGCATAAATTATATTTCTGACGTGTTATGTTACAAAACAACAGAATATATTTAACGCTTTGATAATAAAATGCTATTTCGAGCATCTTTAGTTTCTGTTCTGACTTCATTCAGTTTTCAATGCTACGTAATATGAATTCTTACTTCCTTTGTTATTTCTTTAAAAAGATTAAACGATTCTTATTTAAATATAATACGCAATTTTAGTAAAAATACGTGAGTATGTCATTTTTATTATAGATATCTTTACTAACACAGAGACTGTATTAAAAAATCACATCCGAATAAAAGTATCTATCCGAAATAAAAGACCACACAAAAATAAACAAAATCCACTCCGGAAATCACAACGAATACTTCGAGAGTAAAGCCGATTTAAAAATCACTACGCCAGGCTATTGTAGCCTCAATACATCGAACAATACAGAAAATATTTTCGAATTTACGTCTAAAATAAAAGGCTATCAATAGCAGCGCTCACTGAAAAACTGCTGAAAGGGTAGCAAAATTGGAACTGTAAACGGAATGATACAATTCATTTTTTTTTTCAGTATCACACCGCCCTTTTGCCTTTCTTTTTTCATATCGGTTTTAAAAGGGACTTTTTCAGAGCTGAAAGGTATTTTAAAATAGCCTGTTGCATTGGTAGGTGTTAAAAATTAAAGTTCGTAACTTACAAGTGAATATCGAAATAAAAAAAAATAAACAGTCTAAATAGATACGGGCTCATAAGTAAAAATTGTCTTTCAAGTTTCTATCTCTATGCTTATCTGTTTAAACCAAAGTCAAATAATACATGTCCTACATATAAGAACTACAAGAAAACACTCTTTAAATCAATTAGGATAGATATAACTTTGTAAATAATAAACATATCGGTCGTTAAAGCCAATACAATCAATCAATATTGTTATCACTTACAATATTTTCGTGTCAACATCAGAAACCGGTTACTCGGGTATCGTTATCGAAGTAAATCAATTTCCTAAAAAGAATGTCATTAAAACATTAAATTCGGTAGCCCGCGGGGTTAAGCAGGAATGTCTCGGTTGGAGGAGGGGGGAACAAAAAATCCCGGTACCTGCGCTGCCGTTGACCTCAGGCGATTAGACCCGGTATCGAATACGACCAATGCACGTCCTTTTTGCCTTGAGACTGATTTTATACTTAGTTTGATTTCGTTTCCATTCATGTAAAAACTATTCTGTGTTTACACGATACATGCCACGTAAAAAGCTATCTATTTACCATAACAATAAAAGCCATTCCATAACTCTCCAATTGAATTCTCAGCATTGAATGAACCGCACGATCGCGAGCATTACCTGTAACAAACACACACTACATTAGCTTTGTTCACCTTCTCTCAAACACAATTAGCAGAATAACAATTCCGTTCGTTAGTATCACTGCAAGTATCAATACTGTGGTAATTTGTACCAAGTTCGATCGTTTCCCGTGTTGCATCTCTTTTACTCCCCTACTGATATTGTGAGACAACAAGTGTTCAAAGTGAGATCGAAAGAAAATTCGTTATCGTACGAAGCTTTCAGAAGTTGTGAGCTGTTTAATATTCTGCGAGCGTTCTGAGCCCCCATGGTCCCTTCACGCTAACTTCCAGCTCGGTTCTGATCGCCTGGTACCCATGCAAGTTCCGATAACATTGGAAAAATACATTTTAGAACATTTTATTTATCAGTGTCTCTTTATTTTATCCATTGGGCCAAGTAATCGAAGACTAATTAAAGTAATTAACTGCTGGAAAAGAACTTTCAATTCAACAAGATATAGCGCTTTAGGACACAAACCTGATAACTTTAAATAAGATGTAAATACTTGAATCATTAGTCATTGATGACTCCGTAAAAGTTTCATGTTTCACAGTAAAGAAAGACGTGTTAGACAAGCTATAAGTGTTCATTTTATGTTCATAGAATTACGCCCAACCGATCATAGCTTTATTGATAGTAACTTTATAGAAATACAACTTAAATAGGCCGAGTGACTCATCTAAGGTGTCGGAGTTGCATTTTAGACTAGTCGTAGGTGTGGTTCAAGTACCTAAAATGTTAAGGTTGTAAATGGTTAGGCAGAAAATGTCATAACAATACTGCAATACAAACAGAATTACAGTTGTACTGTGTGCAACCCGTATAAAATCAATTAATGGAAAATTGATTCACCGAAAACAGGTATGTCCTCAAAATAACACAATTTGGTAAATTTCGTTTACCCCAAGCTGATATGCTTGTCGCGTACACACTGATTGGACCAACCAACCACAATCACGAATCGGTGCACCTACTAATGAAATATTGGTGAACTCCGCTCCGATAATAATATAATTTCGTTTGTGAATAAAAGTCGGATTTGCTCCAATAAAAAAGCACATAATTAAAATTGATGGTTGCTGGCAGTGAAGTTACTTCAAAAGCATCGAAATCGAACTGCTCCAGATGTAAACAGTGTGATAACAACCGCAAACTGGTTTAAGATCCAGATCTTGCGTCATGTGCACCGAGTCGTTTGGAAAGCCTGCAACAGAATCGTGTCCCAGTCTCAGAGTCTCCCGTTAATCCACTTTATTTTAACCTCCAGCCGTGTCCAGAGCTTGTTCAGATCGTTTCCTGTTGTATTTCCACTCAACAAGCCCGTTAGAGCATACCGCAAACTAACACCTCGCATTTGTCTTGTCCAGTGTCTTCGTAGGCAGCAATTTATTGCCTTCCTATTCGTGTTCATGTGATCTAATACAAT